ACCCACACGCACACCATCGCACCTGCTCCGACGAGTTTCTTCAATTTCCCCGGTTAGGTAAGCTTCGGGTTTTTCTTTTTCTATTCTAGATCGAAGCTTAGATGTGAAATTGAAGTTCTATCTCGTGTTTTTGCAAGGTTTTTGGGATGAAATCGGCTCGGGAATAGGCACACCCATCTCCGGCGAGGCCGTGGGTGTCGACGAACTTTCCAAACACCTCCGACCGTTTCACAACAAACGGACGTTATAAAGATGTTCCTCTCGTCTTCTATTTCATTTTCATACCTAGATCGGAGTCTAAGGGGCTCTTTACAGTCGGCCGGAGCTATAGAAGCTCCAGTGTTCTTCTCCAATTTGCACAGTTCCGAAATTTCGCGATAATATCGACAATATCGCAATATTTTGACGAAAACCAATTGGATAACCATTAAAATATCGGTCTTGCGAAAAATCAATAATATCGGTGAAATATCGCCCATATTATCGGCATTTAAGACACTGATTGAAACTAACGAGTTTTTACATGACATGTATGTTCGAACTCTCTTTTGATCGTTGTTCAGTGTACTCGATTACTCTTTCGAGCACCTATGTGTTTGTCTTAGTGTCCAACACTAAATGACTTGAGACTAGTCATACTCACGTTTGAGTTGACATAACACATACTAACCTTAGCGGATTGTCAATGCCCAATTGGCAATCCTATGGCTAGGAACGGTTTAGGAATGAACATAAGAGAAAGGTCTCGTTAATCTAACTTACTTAGATTACTTCTCTCAGATTAAATACTTTCCTTGGATTCCCTTATTGCTTAAACACATGATACAATAAATAGTGATTAAGAATAAGCTTTGCCCTTCATTAAACATATAATAGTTTAATACAATAAGTATTCCAAAAGCTATTACATCAAATGAGTGGCTTTGTGGGCATACTTCCAACATTCTTCTTGCAGGCTTTGTCTGATAAATCTCTCACTTTCACTTTTCCTTTGTGATGAACTACCTTCTCCTTTTTTAGCTTTCTTTTCTAGTGATTGAAAGTTGCTTTTTTTTTTTTTCTCTGCTCCCCTTTTCAGACCCATTCTCGCAAAAATACTTTGATTTTCCTCCCTTGATTGCTACGACTCAACACTTGTTATATTGCCACTATTATAAATCCGTAGTGGCGCAAGGTTTCTCCCCCCAGCATTTCCTTCTCTGTCTTCTTCAGATGTAGGTATTTGATTTCCCGAGCCGCCCTAATTGTCTTGAATCGTTGGGCTTGGATTGGCCCTTTCATAATCATTCATGTTCTCAATCAGTGGCGGATCCAGGAATCTTACCCCAAGGGGTCGCAGTGTAAAAGTTCAAATAAAAATTTAGGATGGAAAAACATATTGAAAATGAAATCATAGTACTTTCATTCATAATTCATAATGGAAACAATATTACAATATTACAAACTATAATTGTCCACGACAAGGTTTCATATTTTGAAAACGAAGCATTATAGCTTCATTTTCAATACAAGCAAAAATATCTCTCTCAATATAAACAAGCAAGCTATCACTCAACCATTGATCTCCCATTTTGTTCCTAAGTGGACCCTTAACAATATTCATGACAGAAAATGCTCTCTCCACTGAAGCAGTTGCAACTGGTAAAACTAAAGACAATGTAATGAGCAAATATACATAATTGAATACTTGATGCATCCTTGTCTCCACCATTTTTTTTTTGCAAGATCACCAATCCCTTCCAATTGAGAGAAATCACTACTAGAACACACATAATGAATATAAATCTCAAATTGATCTTCAAGTGCCAAACGATCTTCATCCGAAAAGTCTTGAGGATAAAATTGAGCAAGACGAAGTAACTTTGGTTTATCAAAAGCTACAAATGAATCTTTCGGACTCAAACATGCCATACAAATAAGCAACTCGGTATTTACCTCATTAAAGCGATCCTCTAACTCCGTAATTTGCTCATCAATGACATAAATAAAGAGCTCCACACGATAATGATGACGATTTGTCTTTATTGGAGCATAACGCCTTGACCTCCCTGGAAGTATAAATGCCTCTTCCATGTTAGGAACATCAATATGATGTTTTTCACAAAAAGAAGATACTTCATCAACCAATGCATCGAACCCATTATTCCTCATCCAATATAGCTTTTCCTTGCATGATTTCACTAAAGCCATTGCATTCACAATTTCTTGATCTTTCCTTTGCAATGCTTGTGACAAATCATTTGTGAGTCCCAATATGACTTTCATCAAGAAAAGGTGAAACACAAACTCAAAAGTAAGTATCACTCTCATTAACGTATTTGCTTCACCCGCACTTTCATTGGGATTATCATCAATAACCATTTGAAGCACATGAACCACGGATGAAAACATAGAAATGATGCTAATCAAGGTACCATAGTGTGAGTTCCATCGTGTGTCACCGGCACGTTTGAGACTTGTTTCTTGATTTAAGCCTCGCCCCATTATAAGACAATCATTTTCAAAAGCTATCACAAGCTCTTCTTGAAGTTGCCCTCTAAGTGAATCACGTCGCTTACAAGATGCTCCAACATGATTAACCACATTATTAGCCGTTGAAAAAAAAGAGGCAATGTCTATATTATTCTTTGCTACGGCAACAAGAGCTAGTTGAAGTTGATGAGCAAAGCAATGAACATAATATGCACAAGGTTGTTCTCTCAATATCTTTGTTTTAAGGCCACTCAACTCACCTCTCATATTGCTAGCACCATCATAACCTTGTCCTCGTAGCTTGGAAATGCTCAAACCGTAGTGAGAAAACAATGTGTCAATAGCATCCTTTAGTGAACTTGAAGTAGTGTCGGTAACATGTTGGATACCCACAAATCTTTCAATTACATGGCCGTTGTCATCCACATAACGCAACACCATAGCCATTTGCTCTTTCACAGACACATCACGTGCTTCATCCACCAATATTGAAAAGAATCTATCTTTTAGACCATCCATGATAGCATCAAGTGTTTCAAGGGCACATGAATTCACAATTTCTTTTTGAATGGAAGGAGCTAGTAATTTGAGATTCCCCGGAGCATTTTCCATCACAACTTCTCTAACTTTATCATTATTATCTGCAAGGAATTGCAATAACTCCAAGTAATTTCCCCTATTGCTTGAAGTGGCACTTTCATCATGGCCACGAAAAGGAAGACCTTGTCGTAATAAAAACTTAGTGCACTTGATTAAAGCAATCAAGCATGTGCGATAAGCCTAACGAGCTTGGTCAGAGTGTTTGCTCACTGCCGTTTCAATATGTGTAGCTTGATTCATCAAATTTGTAGCAGCTTCTCTAGCCTTATTATGAACACTCCCAACCGGTCCAACATGCATCTTAAATCTTTCTCTCCCTTTCTTCCAATTCTTAAATCCATCTCCAGTGAAAGCTTCACTACCCACTTGTTCAAAATTGGTTTTAAAGAGATAGCAATAGAGACAAAATGCCGCATCTTTAGATACACTATACTCCAACCAATCAAACTCATCAAACCATTGGGGAATGAAGCGTCGATTAATTCCCGACATATTAGTTATTGGGAAATTATGACCTTTAGGTTGACAAGGTCCTTTTTGTAGATATAATCTTCGGACCTCATCTCTCATATTAGCGTCATAATCTATTATTCGAGTTCTTAATCCAGGATCCGCTTGAAGATTACCCAAAACATCATCTAACTGACTTTGTCTTGAACTTGGAGTTCTTGAACTACCAACAGTATTTGAACTATCAACATTATTCGAACTACCCGAACCCGATGATGACTTTCTCTTAAAAAACCGTTCCATAATAATGCTTGCTACATATTCAAAATAAATACTCACAATATAAACAAACCATAAACATAATCAAAATAAATATGAATTGGATTTCAATTAAATTAAATATCTCATCTTGCATTCTACATATACAAAATAATGAAAATAAAAACTCACAATATAAACAAACCATCAATATAATCAAAATAAATATGAATTGAATTTCAATTAAATTAAATATATTCTACATATACAAAATATTCAAAATAAATACTCACAATATAAACAAACCATAAACATAATCAAAATAAATATGAATTGGATTTCAATTAAATTAAATATCTCATCTTGCATTCTACATATACAAAATAATGAAAATAAAAAATCACAATATAAACAAACTATCAATATAAACAAACCATCAATAAAAACAAACCAATAAAAACTCACAATATAAACAAATCATCAATATAAACAAACCATCAATAAAAACTAACAATAAAAACTCACAAAATAAATATGAATTGAATTTCAATTAATTAAATATATTCTACATATACAAAATATTCAAAATAAATACTCACAATATAAACAAAGGGAGGAGATGGAGTTGGAGCCGTCAGCAGAGGAGCAGCAAGGGAGGAGATGGAGTTGACGTTGAGGGTTTGGGGGCAGCAGCAGCAAGGGAGGAGAGGAGTTGAGGGTTTGGGGGAATTGAGTTAGGGTTGGAGGATGAAAAATTGGGGCTTTTGATTGTATAGGAGTCGGGTAGGAATAGGAAGGCTGGGACTGGGGGGGGGACACGGTGGGAATTATATATATATTTTTTTTGTTCGGCCTGGCCCAAAACGACGCCGTTTTGGCCAGGTCATTTAAAAAAAATTCCTGGGCCAAAACGACGCCGTTTTGCCCGTCTGTTTTGAAAAAAAAAAGAAGCAGCGCGCGCTGCTTCTTCTTCTTTTTGAAAAAAAAAAGAAGCAGCGCGCGCTGCTTCTTCTTCCTCTTCCTGCCGAGCTTCGTTCAGGATTTCTGTCGAACACTTGGCGTGCGAGTCCGACCCCGATGACCCCAGCTCCAAGAGGTCGCATATGGGAGCTTCAAGGTTGCTTCCATGGTTTCCAAGGGGTCGTGCGACCCCGACGACCCCACTGTGGATCCGCCCCTGTTCTCAATCATCTCCTCAATGCTTATTACTCATGATTGGGCTAGATGTTGTTACAGCCCATGAACTTGCATTTCTTTGTCCTACCCCAGGCCCACTCCCCATAAATTCTTGCCGAGTCCTTTTCACTCGACCCCCCACCTATCCATTGCACCGCCTTATGGCCCTGCCCACCGTTTCTGTTTGTTTCATGGAATTCTCTAGGGAAAACATTCCTTGTTTTCACTGACAATTGATTATTCTGTTCCCTTACGTGTCCCCCATTGTGCTTACCACGTGAATCACTTTCCTGTTTGCGCGTACCATCCACTTGCCTCCCATGTTCTCCCCTTCTGGCCTCCTCCCTAGTTGTCCCTGCAAGTCTTCTCTCTCCTTGAAAGCTCACCAGTGGTCTACTGTTTTTCTGTATATCTCGAACCGCCGCAGTCTTCATCCATTCCCCATATCCTGCAACTCCATTCTATTTGGTCCGAAAGAACATTCAGAATTTACATGCCCCGTCCTACCACAATTATAACAAAAATATTGAAGTCTTTCTTTCATATCGAAATTCAACCCATGTATCTCTGTCATTAGACCGAGGTAGCCAACAACCTGGAATAAAAGGATTTCTTGTATTCACCATAACTCTAACCCGCATAAATCCCCTGGCTAATGATAGATTTTCCACCTCCACTCCATTAGTTCTCCAATTGCCCTTGCCAGCCTTCTTGCATTTTCTTCTGTGATCAGATACAAAGGTACACCTCTGATTTGGACCCAGAATGGGACCAAATGAAGTTGAATTTCCTCCAAAGCTAGCTCTTGTGCCCACATTTTGACTAAAAAAATTTGCTTCATAACTGCCAATGGTACGCAAGTTTACTAGAGTGTAAGACGTTGAGAGCTGATAAAACTAGGAAGACCATATTGAATTGATTGTAACTAAACTAGAAACGAAGTTTGAATCTTGTTCTAAAAACCGCAAAGAGTATATTAGAGATCTCTCACCGAAAAGAAACCCACTCACCTTGGAGGAAATACTTTCACTCCCGAGAGAAGACACTAATTTCCAGTGTTTTGTACTCTACATTAAACTATTTATGTGAAGACTTACATAAAAGAAAATTATAATGAGGATTCTTTGGCGATCCTATTACAAAACATGCAAAGTTTAACCTTGGAATTATTATATGGAGAAAATAGTCTGCCGCCATGCTAACTTCTCGGAAGATATGATTGATGTGGTAGAAACTAACGCACAAATTAAATCTCATAAATTATAGTATGAGTAAGTAGGGATCGTTCTATTATGGGGATTAGAAGAGATGCTAATCAACACAAATTAAACTTATAAAATTGAAAACTAAGTTAAACTAACAACAAAACATTGAGGGGGGATTTTGGACGAATTTAATTAAAACAAAAGTAAAGTGCAACAAGTAAATTAAGTTGTGAATGAAATATGGATGAGAGGATAGCTAGAGGATTCTTCTCCACACATGAAACATATGCATACAAATCAATTTCCAATTATTCTTCCTATAAACCATGAATGACAATGACCCAAATTAATTGTGAACATCACTAATTAACTCTCAGATTTTTCCTAAGTTCATTGAATTGGACTCAGTGACGCAACCAAATTATTCTTCTCGAGTTCCCTAACTATGAAAAGCATGATAGAGATACATCTCAAAGATCATTAAGGTCTGTGAAAATCATAAGCATTGACAAAACATTCGTAACTATGAAAAACATGATACTCCTGCTAGGAATTTACTTAACTCAATCATGACTAGTGACTTTTACTACTTGCAAATATAAGTTCATAACGATTAGATGAAATTCCCTTATATTCTAGCATCAAATCCTTGCATGCAAAAGGTGAAATTCCCTTATATTAGGTTACGTCACACTCTTCCTCTCTCTAATTTGCGGCAATAATGTATATATATAGGGTAAGGGCACATCTGAATCCCAAGAGGAAAAATATTAGGTTCTTTGAATTATTTTAGGACTCTTAGAATCCGATAGGATGAATATGATAAGGATTCATTCTTGCAACTGGAGATAAGATAAGGTAAGATTGGATAAGATAGGATAAGATAAGGTAAGATTGGATAAGATAGGATAAGATAAGGTTCCTCTCCAACTAGGATTCCTCTTTCTTGTGTAATTCCTTGTCTTCCAAGCCTCGACTTTAATCTTACCAGATTTTAGCACATATCTAGCACCATTTAAGCACCAAAAATGTCAGCCCATATGCTATCCAAGCCTGATGTCCAATCCAAGTCCAAAACTGTTCCAAATTGCTCCATTTTGCCATTTATTGTCATCTTTACCAATTGGACCTACAATAATACGAAAATAACATAAATTACCAAAATAAATGGAAATTAATGAAGAAAATGCAAAGAAATAAGATAAAAAAGTTGCATAAATATGCTCCTATCAAATTCCCCCACACTTAGCTTTTGCTAGTCCCCGAGCAAAACAAAGAAAACAAAACAAAACCTAAACCTTCCAACAATTGCCTCAGGGATTTCCAATAAAACATGACATGTTAAAAATCATTACTTACAAAGATTTTAGCAATCCTTACTCTTAAGCTTATACTTAACCACAGTAACCACTCACTAGCTCTCATTTAATCAATTAAAACAACTTTGAAAGTAGTAAACATGCCTTAGAGAATTCACTCATTTCCTAACCGGATATACTCTCTATTTTCACATAGATTTTTTTACTACACTCCCTAAACTAAGTAAGTATATGTAAGAAGATTCATGTAAACATGTAGATTAGCACTCACATATGTTATAACAAAGAAGGCACTTTCAAGAATTATTAACACACACATGTATATGATCTCATGAATAGAATGCCACTACTTAGAAGTGAGAACCAGGGATTCCATATGCTCGTACCAATTTCAAGCTCCACATATTGAACAATCAAGATAAAAGTTTAAAGGTTGTAATGGGGCTAAGGTATTGGTTAACAAAGAATGGTCAAGGATGAACAAAGGTTCTTAAAGTGATAGTAAGCAAAGTAATGAAATCAACACTTAAAATTCAACTTTTGATTGTAGCACCCAACTTTAAACACAAAGGGGATAGTCATACAACTTTAGGGTCAAATTCACATTTTTGGACCCTTCCTTAACAACCAACACTTATGCACTCATTCTCACTTCTTTTCAACCTCTTATTTTTCTTTCCTCAACTTTTTTCTTCTTTTTTCTTTTCTCTTTCTTTTTTTAACGTTTTTTTTTTTTAAACATAAAACATAAGCACTACTTCACTAGATTCAAAAGAACAAATCCTTCCCCCACACTTATTTTTCTGCAAATCATAGATCAAAGGGAATTACCAACAAGTCATGCTCCACTATTCTTTAGAACAAGGGTATGGATATTCCTATACTAGGCTAGGTAGGGATAACGCAAACGAACAAAGAAAATAGGCTAAATAAGGCTCAACGAAGTTAAACCTACAATACATGTGCAAGGGATAAGGCTTTTTGGCTTTAGTGGTAACTAAGCAACTTCATCTTGTTATTTGTTATGCAATCAATTTTATGCTTTGAATGAAACAGGCATGAGTTCTAGTATTTGGAATTAAAATGATGAAAAACCATTCTAACTAGCAACCAAGCAAAGAAATAATGAGATCATGCAACGACTTTAGAAAGCAAGAATATCACAGATTAATAACTCTCCAAACAAAGAATAGGCTTAAGTCTCGCAAGGTTGTAGCGTTAGTTTGAGTTTCTTCCTTCAAGCATGTTACAAAAAATGATTTTTTTTTCTTTGTGATTGCATGTGAATTCGTAAATGACAACTTCAACTAAGCATTAACCAAAGAGCATATCAAACTTCCACCCATGTTTGTAACTTTCTTTAAATGTCATGTAATTAAAACCAAATCCTCATCATTGTGTTGGAAGGTACCCTAAAACACAAACAAGCAACAAAAACAACTCTTTTTGGTATTTTCTCAAACTTTTTTGATTTTTTTTTTAATTTTGTTTTTATAACACCCAATAAAACACGTTAAAACAGTGAATGACAATATTAGTAGTGATAGGTAGTGAAATTCGAAGTTAAGTCAAGAAAAACAATTTGTTTACCCCCCCCAACACTTAAACCAAACATTGTCCTCAATGTTTCAAAAATAAACTTAACCAAGAAAGCAATAAAAGATAACTAGCAAAAAAGACAATCATAGCAAAGTAAAAACAATAAAGAGAACGGTAAAAGAAAGCAACTCTAGTTGTAGGAGCCGGAAATTCCATTGTCTCTTTATTTGAACACATGGGTTGCCTCCCAAGAAGCGTTAACTTCTCGGAAGATATGATTGATGTGGCAGAAACTAACACACAAATTAAACCCTATAAATTATGCAATCGTAGTATGAGTAATTAGGGATCATTCTATTCTGGGGATTAGAAGGGATGCTAATCAACACTTATAAAACTAAAAACTAAGTAAAACTAACAACAAAACAGTGAGGGGGGATTTTGGACGAATTTAATTAAAACAAAAGTAAAGTGCAAGCAAGTAAATTAAGTTGTGATGAAATATGGGTGAGAGGATGGCTAGAGGATTCTTCTCCACACATGAAACATATGCATACAAATTGATTTCTAGTTATTCTTCCTATAAACCATGATTGACAATGCCCCAAATTAACTATGAACAACACTAATTAACTCTCAAATTTTTCCTAAGTTCATTGAATTGGACTTAGCGATGCAACCAAATTATTCTTCTCAATTTCCCTAACTATGAAAAGCATGATAGAGATACATCTCAAAGATCATTAAATTCTGTGAAAATCATAAGCATTGACAAAACATTCGTAACTATGAAAAGCATGATACTCCTGCTAGGAATTTACTTAACTCAATCATGACTAGCGCCTTTTACTACTTGCAAATATAAGTTCATAACGATTAGGTGAAATTCCCTTATATTCTAGCATCAAATCCCTGCATGCAAACTAAGTGTGCACCCTTAATAAACATACAAGAATAAGTTCTCTATAAACCAGATAAGTAAATCTCATTCATGTTTTATGAAACAATAACTGGATGTAATCAATTTATATAAAACATATGATCATGGCTTTGAATTCACCTCTATCTAAAAAGAAACTTAGTTACGCATGTTCATCATAACTTTAAAATAATCTAAAATAAACATTGAAACTTAAAATAAAGAGAGAAAGAACCCAGAAAACTCCAGTGACTTCAATGAATGATTGCAGGTTACGGCACACTCATCTCCTTTCTAATTTGCGGTAATAATGTATATATAGGGTAAGCGCACAGCTGAATCCCAGGAGGAAAAAGATTAGGTTGTTTCAATTATTTTAGGACTCCTAGAATCAGATAGGAAGAATATGATAAGGATTCCTCCTTGTAGCTGGAGATAAGATAAGGTAAGATTGGATAAGAGAGGATAAGATAAGGTTCCTCTCCAACTAGGATTCCTCTTTCTTGTGTAATTCCTTGTCTTCCAAGCCTTAACTTTAATCTCACCAGATTTTAGCACATATGTAGCACCATTTAAACACCAAAAATGTCAGCCCATATACTATCCAATCCTGCTGTCCAATCCATGTCCAAAACTGCTACAAATTGCTCCATTTTGCCATTTATTGTCATCTTTACAATAATATGAAAATAACATAAATTACCAAAATAAATGAAAATTAACGAAGAAAATGCAAAGAAATAAGATAACAAAGTCGCATAAATATGCTCCTATGAATGATATATTGTATACTTGGAAATTTGATGCAATAGATGCCAAATGTCTTCTTCTTTTTTTTTTGGTGAAACGATAGATTTTATTATATTAGATATTCGATTAGCCACCGGCGGGGTCTGAACCCACGCCGTCATACAAGGGTTCAACATCTTTCCACCACTACGTTAAGGGGCAACTTGCGCCAAATGTCCTTTACATGGACAAAATTTGGGTAGAAACTTAAGTATATTTCTTAATTGTATGTATCGATATATTCAAATCTCCATCAATGTTAATTTTGTAACATATATTCGTTATGTGATGCCTTAGTTATCATTAAATAGTAATACTTGGGTTAGACCTGATAATTTCTTACACGGCACGAAAATGACGCGAAGATAAAAGGTTTCGAATCAACATGATAACAAATCGGGTAATTATCAAGTGATACATTAATGGATATACACGCGGGTAACACTTGGGTAACCTATTTTGACGCGTTAAGAAAAAAAAATGTTTTTATAATTTTTAAGTTTAATTACTAAAAAACTTNTGGTTCTAAGTGATGAAACGCCTTCTAAAGTAGCAACCAAGCAAAGAATAATGAGATCCATGCAACGACTTTAGAAAAACAAAGAATGCACAGATTTTAACTCTCCAAATAAACGTTTAGGCTCAAGTCTCACAAGGTTGTAGCGTTAGTTTGAGTTACTTCCTTCAAGCATGTTACAAAAAACGCGATTTTTTTACTTTATGATTACATGTGAATTCATAAGTTATAACCACAACCAAGCATAAACCAAAGAGTAAATCAAACTTTTATCCATGTTTTATAACTCTCTTTAACCGTCATGCAATTACAAAAACCGAATCCTCATCATTGTGTTGGAAGGTACCCTAAGACACAAACAAACACACAAAAACGACTCTTTTTGGGTTTTTTAAAACAAATTTTTCAAATTTTTATGGGATTTTCGGATTTTTGACTCAACATATACATTAAAACACACCAAAACAGCTTAAAAAAGGCTTAAAACAGCAAGAAAACAACATTTGAAATTATGAGTGATAAAACCCTACGAATTTGCATCAAAACACTTTGGTTACCCCCCCACACTTAAATCAAACATTGTCCTCAATGTTTCAAGCATAGACTCACACAAATAACAAACAAACAAACAAAACAACCTCTAAACAACCTAACATAGCAGAAACGAAGTTAACAACAAAGAGAAGAGTTTAGGAACGCAAATCTGGAATTGGAGTGCTCTCTATGTCCTCCTTTGTTGAATGCATGGGTTTGCCTCCCAAGTAGCGCTTGCTTTAACGTCGTACAGCCGGACGAAGACCTCATTCACTCCTTACTAGGGCCCACGGCATCCAAGGGTATGTCATCCACGGCATGCTCCACAAAGGTGTCATAATAGGGCTTCAAACGATGCCCGTTCACCTTGAATTCTTGTCCCGTTTTCAAGCTTTGGATTTGGACTGCACCATGAACAAAAACATTAGTAATAACAAACGGTCCAATCCACTTAGAACGTAACTTACCGGGAAACAAACGTAAACGGGAATTGAACAAGAGCACTTTCTGCCCAATTGAGAATGATTTCCCACGGATCATGTTGTCATGGAAAGCTTTGGTCTTTTGCTTGTAAATGCTTGCATTATCGTACGCCTCGTGCCGTATCTCATCAAGCTCATTCAATTGCAATCTCCTTTGACTTCCCGCTTCATCGAGGTTCATGTTAAACTTCTTGATGGCCCAAAGTGCTTTGTGCTCCAATTCAACGGGAAGATGGCACGCCTTGCCATAGACAAGTCGGAAGAGGGACATCCCAATGGGAGTTTTGTACGCCATACGATACGCCCAAAGTGCATCATCTAACCGTAAGCTCCAATCCTTCCTTGTTGGCCCAACTGTCTTCTCAAGTATTTGCTTGATCTCTCGGTTGGAAACCTCGGCTTGGCCATTCGTTTGAGGATGGTAAGGTGTAGAAACCTTATGGGTGACACTGTATTTCCTCAATAACGCTTCAATGGTCCGATTGCAAAAATGTGACCCTCCATCACTAATGATCACTCGTGGCATTCCAAACCTTGCAAAAATGTTAGTTCTCATAAAATCTGCAACCACTTTAGAATCATTAGTCCGGGTGGCCTTGGCTTCCACCCATTTCGACACATAATCAACCGCAAGCAAAATATACATGAAACCATACGATGAAGGGAAGGGACCCATGAAATCAATACCCCAAACATCAAAAATTTCAACATTTAGGATAGAAACCTGCGGCATTTGGTCCCTAGCACTTATACCACCCATTCGTTGGCATTTATCACATGTTAAGCAAAAAGTTTTAGCATCTTTAAAAATACTAGGCCAATAGAATCCACATTGTAACACCTTGAGGGCTGTGCGTTGTGTGCCAAAGTGCCCTCCACATGCATAAGTGTGACAAAAACTCAAAATTGAATGACATTCAGAATCATGCACACAACGACGTATAATCTGATCGGGGCAAAATTTCCATAAGTACGGATCATCCCACACAAAAAACCGTGCATCATGCCTAAGTTTATCACGTTGGTGCCTAGTGAACTCACTTGGAATACGTTTTGACACCAAAAAATTAACAATATCGGCATACCAAGGTGCACTAACCTTTTAGGGACATCAATTGCTCATCCGGGAATGTCTCTGGAATAGGTATGACATCTTCTTCATGCACCAAACGGCTCAAGTGATCAGCCACAACGTTCTCACTTCCTTTCTTGTCTCGGATTTCGATATCGAACTCTTGGAGAAGAAGCATCCATCGAATAAGCCTTGGTTTAGCCTCCTTCTTCGTGAGCAAGTACTTCAACGCTGCATGATCAGTGTAAATTATTACTTTAGTACCAAGTAAATAAAGAACGAAACTTATCTAAAGCAAAAACAACGGCAAGGAGTTCTTTTTTCCGTTGTGGAGTAGTTCAATTGAGCATCGTTCAAGGTCCGAGAGGCATAATATATGACGTGTGGCTGTTTGTCCTTCCTTTGTCCCAAAACAGCGCCTAGAGCATAATCGGATGCATCGCACATAAGCTCGAAGGGAATGCTCCAATCTGGTGGCCGAATGAATGGGGGCCGAAGTTAGCATCTCTTTGAGGTGTTTGAACGCCTTTTCACATTCCTCGTTGAAGTCGAAGGTCACATCCTTTTGGAGAAGTCGGCATAGGGGTGTGGAAATCTTTGAAAAGTCCTTGATGAATCGCCTATAAAATCCTGCATGTCCCAAAAACGAACGAACCTCTCTAACCGAAGTCGGAGAGGGTAAGTAGCGTACAAGATCTATTTTCGATTTATCAACCTCAATTCCCCTTGCAGAAACAATATGCCCTAAAACTATGCCTTGTTTTACCATAAAGTGACACTTTTCCCAATTTAAAAAACAAGGTTAGTTTCCATGCATCGTTTTAAGATTAATGTGAGATTTTCCAAGCAACCATCAAACGAATCGCCAAAGACACTAAAATCATCCATGAATACCTCAATAATCTTCTCAATAAAATCTGAAAAAATACTTACCATGCATCGTTGGAACGTGGCCGGTGCATTGCATAAACCGAATGGCATGCGGCGGTACGCAAAAGTACCAAATGGGCACGTGAAGGTCGTCTTTTTCTTGATCTTCCGGAGCTATGACAATTTGATTATATCCCGAATAACCGTCAAGAAAACAATAAAAAGAATGACCGGCTAACCTTTCTAGCATTTGATCGATGAATGGTAGTGGAAAGTGGTCCTTCCTTGTGGTGTTGTTGAGCTTCCTATAGTCAATGCATACTCTCCAACCTGTTTGAATACGGGTTGGCACAAGCTCATCCTCGGCATTCTTCACCACAGTGACTCCGGACTTCTTTGGGACAACACTTGAACCGGTGAGACCCAACGGCTATCCGAGATTGGATAGATCACTCTCCACAGTCGAGAAAGCTTTATAATCTCCTTTTTCACGACTTCCATCATCGGAGGGTTGAGCCGGCGTTGAGCTTCTCGAGTTGGTTTAGCCCCCTCCTCTAGGAAGATGCGATGCATGCATGTTGTAGGGCTAATTCCCTTAATATCGGCCAATGTCCATCCGATGGCTGTTTTGTGCTCTTTCAACACCCGAATCAACTTTTCTTCCTCTAATGCCGTGAGTGATGAAGAGACAATGATGGGCAACGTCTCTTCCTCTCCCAAGAATGCATACTTTAAATGGTCCGGCAACGGTTTAAGCTCAAGAACGGGGGCCTGAATCACAGAAGGTAACAACGTATTAGTGGAAACGGGAATTGGAATTGGGTTAGACGGCTTACCATGATGTTTTGGCAATGATTCCAAGGCAGCCACAAGCTCGGCATGCTCCTCCTTAGGTACGGCCATGTTGGGTTCTGTGCCAAATCCTTTGTGCAATTGTTTTGTTTCGAGTGGATCGTCCTCCAACATATCAAGATAATCCTGCGCCAATTCATCCAATATATCAATAGAAAAACAAGAATGATCATCTTTAGGAAATTTCATAGCTTCAGAAATGTTAAAGTTAATAATCTCCCCATCAAATTCCATTGTCAACGTCCCTTTGAACACATCGATCTTGGTGCGTGCTGTTTTCATGAAAGGCCTCCCAAGTAGAATCGGCAATGGGGTGACATTTGGTGAGTCCTCCATCTCTAAAACGTAGAAATCCGCTGGAAATATCAAGTTATCCACCTGCACCAACACATCTTCCAAAACTCCTTTCGGATATGCATTAGAACGATCGGCTAATTGAATTATAACACCATCGTTTTTAAGCTCTCCTAAGTTCATGGATGCATATATTGAGTATGGCATGACATTAATTGAAGCTCCTAGATCTAACATAGCATGTTCAAATTTAGTATTGCCTATAACACATGGAATTGTAAAACTTCCCGGATCTTTGCATTTAGGAGGTAATTTTCTTTGCAAAACAGCGGAAACATTCTCACTTACCTGGACAACCTCTTTGTTTGAAATTCTCTTTCTTGTTGTACATAGTTCCTTCAAAAACTTGGCGTACCTAGGTACTTGCTTAATTGCGTCAAGGAGAGGTATATTGACTTGCACTTTCCGGAACGTCTCTAGAATGTCCTTTTCAGCTTCTTCTTTCTTTGTTTGCTTGAACCTACTAGGAAAGGGGACATTCAAAGGAAAATCATTAGTAGGAATGGAATTGGACACAATTGTACCTTGATTTGGCAGATTGGATGGCTTAGGAGCCATTGGGACTTGCGGCAAAGGAACATCTTTCCTTGCCGTGGCCAACCCTTGGTCCTCCTCTTCAATTATCACTTCCTCCACCTTGTTTGGGGCTGATTTGGATGGTTGTGGGGCTGTTCCTACTTGTTTCCCACTCCTTAACATGATTGCCTTGGCAGATTCAAAGCCTCCTTTCGGATTTGCAATGGTTGAGCTAGGCAATCTTCCTTGCTCTCGAAACTGCCCCATGAACTCGGCAATTTGCCCTACTTGTTTCTCCAACTCGTCCACCTTTTTGTCCCTATTTTGCATTCCCTGCGCCATAGAAGTTAGTAAATAAAAATTTGATCATTATCAATAGACGAACCTGATTTTTGGGTGGATTGTGCTTGGGGTTGAGTTGGTGCAAATGGCTTTTGATAGAAACCCGGGGGTTGTTGCCTAAATGTGCTTTGTTGTTGGCCTTGTTGGGATTCTCGCCATTTGAAATTTGGATGATCACGCCAACCGGGATTGTAGGTGTTAGAAAATGGATCATTCCTTTGTTGGTATTGCTGCCCAAAACCCACGGCATTTAGGGTCTCCCACCCTCCGTTCTCAATCAGTTGTGGGCACTTGTCCGTAGGGTGTCCTTGCATGGAACATACGCCACACGCACTTACATTTTGAACTTTTGGCCCTTCCACAACCTGAGAAAGCAAAGTAGTAAGGTTAGCCATTTGATTTTGAAGTTCGGTTATGGCACTTACCTCATTCACTTGGTGTTGCCGTGTGGTGCCTCTTTGTCCAACACCTTCGTATTGTTGAGCGTTCAACGCTCGATTGGCAATCAAAGTCTTTGCTGCTGCCGTGGGGCTTATATCTACCAATGCTCCTCCCGCCGAGGCATCTAGCATTTGTCGTTCGATTGGTAGAAGTCCCTCGTAGAAGTATTGCAGAAGAAGCTCCTCTTTCATTTGATGCTGTGGACAAGAAGCAACAAGAGATTTAAAACGTTCATAATATGTAGGAAAAGACTCACCTTCTTCTTGTTGAATTCCACTTATCCTTTTTCGTAGGAGAATGACTCGAGAGGTTGGAAAAAACTTCTCTAAGAAAGCCCGTTTCATGCTCTCCCAAGATGTGACCGTTCCGGGAGCTAATTCATATAACCAATCCTTCGCCTTTTCCATAAGAGAAAAGGGGAAAGCCTTCATCTTCAATATACTCCCGTCCACGTTTACCGGAGTCATGCTTGAGCAAACGACTTCAAACTCCTTCAAGTGCTTGTTTGGATCTTCCATGGACAGCCCATGGTACTTCGGAATGTGATGTAACAAGCTTGACTTCAATTCAAACTCGGCAGTTTTGTCCTGGGCCGCCCTAGGGTATTGGATACATAGAGGTGCGGCATTATCCAATCCCGAAGCGGAAAGCTCCTTGATCGTTCGGTTGTCCACTGCCATGTCTTCCACTTCCTCTTCAAATTCAGAAACAGACTCGGAACTTGCACTTGATTCACTAGGTTCCGGGTTCTTCCTCTTTCGTCTCAACTCACGCTCAAAATCGTCGTCAAAGTCTAAAATATGTTCTTGAACCGGATTAGAACTCCGAGTCATAAACAAGTACCTAAAACAAGAAACAAAATAACATAAGAATCTGATCTAATAAGAAAAACAAAAATAACAATCCAAGGGATTAGCAAAGTTGCTAATCCCCGGCAACGGCGCCAAAATTTGGTGTGAAAATTATGTTGACACTCAAATTAACCCTCTTTTTATCAATTGTAGCAAAGTATGTAAGTAGGGATCGTTCTAAACCGGGGATTAGGAGGGATTGCAAAATCACTTGAAAACTGACTCAAATATGTAAAAAACAAGTTTTAAAACACTAAACTAGACTCAAAGAATGCAAAACTAAAACTTTAAAAACACCAAAACAAACCAAAAGACTCAAAACAGCACCAAAAACACTCAAAACTGCCTTAAAAACACAATCTGGGCAGTTTTGGACACTAAGCACCAAATTGGACGAATTTGGGTTTTAACTTGAATCAAAACACTTAAAAACACAAAGTAAAACACTTACTAACTAATTTGACACTTTAAAAACAAAGGGGGATTGGTTTTGGACGAATTTAAAAAAAAAACAAACTTTGTAAATTAGAACAGATTGTAAAAACGAATTTGATTTAAATGGGTGAATGGAAGGCTAGCTAAGGGGTTCATCTCCACACATGTTATACTTGCATACAAAACGATTTCCAATTGCTTTTCAATAAACCATGAATTCTCAATGCCCCAAGTTAATTAGTTCCGCTTAAATTAACCCTCAGATTTTCCTAACGTTATTGAATTGGATGATTGCATACGACAACCCAAAACATTCCCCACAAGTCCCCTACATGATTTCATAATAGAGATACAAGCAAGAATCATTAAGTTCTATGAAAACCATAAGCATTGACGAAGCACTTGTTACTATGATTGCATGAAACTTATGCCAAGAATTTACTTAACGCGATTGAGATCATCAACCTTTACTACTTGTGAATATAATTCCATAACGATTAGGTGAAATTTCCTTATATCCTAGCATTCAATTTATGCATGATAATTAAGCGTGCACTCTCAACCAACACACACAAATCAATGTAATCCACATAGATAAGTAAATTGAATTCACAACTTATGAAACGCAATTAGAAGTAATCAAATCATAATGCAAGCATAAACATGTATTTCGAATCCCCCCCTAGCCAAGGGGGGGTTTAGTTCCTCATACGCACAAAACAAAGAGAATTGAATTTAAACATTGAAATCAAAGGAAAAGAAACACCTAGAAATTCCAGCGACGCGAACTTGAATTGCATGAACTTCCGAGCTTCCTTCTCCTCCTCCTTGGTGCGGCAAAGGGTCTAGGGACTAGTTTAGGACCTTAGGTGTATGGATGCATGGTTATGGATGGATGTAGTAGTGTTTAGGGGAAGAGAATGGTGCGGCAGAGGTGTGGAGAGAGCTTGGACGAATTTCTGGAGTGAATTGTGAATTGTGGTGAGTGGTGATCTGATTTAGGGGTTAATAGGAGTATATATAGGCACTTAAAACCCTAGGGTAATCAGATATGGACTTGGATAACCCAAATCCACAAGGAAATAGGTCTAACAATCAGATTTTGCAAGGGAAAAGGGGTCCTAGGTGCGGCTGGATAGGGATAAGGTGGATAAGGCTTCTAGATGGCCTTGCAAGGCAAGGAAATCAGGTTTCTAGAAGGGATAGGTGCGGCACTTAAAGGATAGGGCAGATTAGGGCTTCTAGAAACCCTCTAATGCAAGGAAAACTCACGGCAAGGATGGATAAGGTTTCTAGAACAAGGATAAGGTATCCTAAATGGATAAGGACTCCTCATTGCATTTGGAAACTTTGCCTATTAGGATTAGGAAACCTTATCTTTGTCATTCCTTCTTCATTCTGGATTCCTTCTCCTTCTTGGACTTGGAAATCTTCTTTGTAGCTGCAACTTGATGCCATTTGGATTTAACTTTCCTACTTCAAGTAGGAAACCTTGTTTGAGTAGGAATCTTCATCTTCAAGGAATCCTAATTCAACTAGGAAACCCATTTTGACTAGGAATCCTAATTCAACTAGGATTCCATCTTCACTTAGGCACTTTCCTACTTCGACTAGGGAACCTTGTTCAAGTAGGAAACATCATCTTCAAATCTTCAATTTCGTCCATCCTCTTGGCTCCAAGCATATGACATCCATTCCAAGCTCAACTTTGCTCCAAAAGGCTCCAAAATGCATTCTTTTGCATACTTTGCCCTTAGAACCTGAAAACACATAAAACTAGCTTAAAAGACTACTTTACTAAGCAAAAACACTATAAATGCACAAGAACAAGCTAAACTAAGGCGCATAAATATGCTCCTATCACCACCCTTCCCCCACCTCCTTCCTTCACCACCAAAACCAGAACCACTCCCTTACCATCATCATTTCCTCTTCCATCTCCGCCACCAAGTTATATGACTCTGTAGCGTAAATGGTGTCTGTATTTGGTCTTTTAAGCACACATACTTAATTTCAACGCTAGAACAATTTGAATGGCTTGGTTATTTTCCTTGAGAGACTTCCTCATTTACATTGCATGCATACCTGTTGAAGTTCCTTTCGAGTGCAGATATAAGGATAGTATAGCGGCACAAGTAACGGCATCGAACCATAGGGACTGAGAAACAACTTAGTAAGACCTTTGACTCTTACAAATTAGCATTAGTTAAAGACTCCTATGACTTAAAATGGGGGGTTTGAGTAATCCTGGAAAAGAAATAAAGACATAAAGAAAAGGGAAAAATTAGAACTATCTAAAAACAAACCTAAGACGTTTTTAGGACATAAATCTGACTTCAAATAAACAAAGGCCTTCCCCTAAACATTCCTGAATCAAAGATATGATCTTTTAACTTATCCCTTTCAAATGCACAACTAAGATGTTTACATATCTAACATGGCATATAACTAGCTTGTATGAATCCTCTCTTACTTTGCATGTTATATGCATGGCATATACATAAAACTTATATTTGTAAGTGCAACCTAGCATGGCAATACATAAAACTTATATTTGTAAGTTCAACCTAGCATGGCATATACTCAGATTTAGCACCTAGAAACTCATTAAGAATGAAGAGGATTATGAACATCACATGAACCCTAGAACATGGCATTTATCCTAGAACTTCATGGAATCAATTTACATGATTAGTTTTGAACCTAACCACATGTTGCTAATGAATGAAAGAAGATATGGCAGTCATCCTTATCATTCTCAACAGAAACCAAACATAAATAAGGTAGCTAAGCTTGAAAATATGTGCTTGAAATGATTGAAACAGAAAACTGATTCTAGCTTGCAAATGAAATTGATAAACTAAAACTGCATCACAACATTAATTCAATCATGTCTAAGGCTTCAAAGCAACCCTAAGTATCCATTAACTAAATTAAAAACATAACAAAATACATAAAAGTTAGGAAAGCTAGAACCTAGAAACTGCTCAAGGATGAAGACTCATGCTTTCTCCAGATTTTGTGTTTTTCTCCTTTTTTTTTTCTTTTCTGATTCTGTGTATTTTTCTTCTATTAAAAGGCTTAGGATTTTTCTAACATCTAACACATTTACATCCTTAAATTGACTGTTAGTTATAGCTCATTACAATCAGCTTTTAGTATAGGAGTAACAGAAAACTAGCTGTTTTCAGAATTTATAACTGCACAGCTCCTCTTTATTCTGTCATAACTTCTTGTCAAAACCTCCAAATCACAAGATGTAAAGACCATCAGAAAGAAGACTTCCAGGGCTTTCCAACCATTTATGGCTCATTTTCTAATTCGATCTGAGTACTTCAGGGCAAAGCTCGAAAGTTGGTCGATCTGGAAGGGCCTTTTTCTGGTAGATCTTGGGTCACTTGTGGGTTATGGTATGTTCTTGGGTGAGTTGGGCTTCGAACTATCCATTCTAGGCTCTTAAAATATTCAAAATAAGATGATTTCTTCAAGCCCTTACTTTCATCTTGAAATACAATACAAACAACAAAATACTTGGTGATGCATAGAGATTTTAAGTCAAAAACCTAAGTACAAGAGGGCATATAAATATAACTTTATGCACTCAACAATACGTATGTTTTCGACATGCATGGTTTTTTTTTTATTAAAAAATGAGAGCAACTTCACCCCTCCCTTAAATTAACTGAGTAATAATCCATTTTCCTCCTAGGCAACCCCCCCCACCACCAAAAAAACCCCTCTCCATCCCATCCAATCAGCTGGGCTTCAATGGAGGCAAGCATCATGGCCATTATGTAATAGACTGACCTAAGACTCGGCCTACTTGATGCCAAGCTGGCATCAGCCATGTGAATTAATTTTTTTACGGTTGGCGCATACGAAACACGCGTGTGTCGGTGTGATAACTCATATATTTCATGCATTTATACCATCCATTTCTAGTCTCTTTGTGATGTTTTTGAGTTAAACTGGTTGCATTTTACCCTATTTTGTGTTAGTGTGTAGTTACATGTACTTTAGGATTCATTTGAGGGCAAAAGAAGTGAAAACATGCCCTTTTTGGAGCTGATCCTTATTCAAACGTGGAGACAAGTTTAATGGCCTGTTTTGGAGCCCAAATAAAGTTGTTACTTGTTTTGAAGTCCAAATAACAAAGCTGGCTTGTTAGAAGATCAGGAATAGAACGGGAAAGGAATTGGGATATCTAGCTTGATTTGGAGATGCCAAATAAGACAAAAACGTGCAAAATAAAGGCTAAGTTGCTGGGATTACTTTGGAATATCTTCCAGCCTTTTTTACCCAATAAAAACTTTCCTTTTAGCCACTTTTACATACCCTTTTTATTCTTGGCAAATTACACAATTCGGATAACCTATTTTTTTTCCTCTTTTTCATTCACTCTTAAGAAAACCCTAGC